GTCATTAGTCCATTACAAAACAATAATGGACACCTAACCCAGTACTGATAATTAGCGGACATAAATAAATATTCTAAAACTCACAGCATTTGCAGATATCTAAACATAATGTATCTGAGAAATACCATGTAGGAGTTAAATAGAAAGACTATCTAATATTCCTCACCTAATCTCCATAGTCAAGAATTCCAATTCAGACATAAATGCATAGAAACTATTCTAAGACATACAAGTCACAATCCAGTATTTGCTCAGTCTATTAAAGTAATTTTAAAAAATTTAATATGTAATAATCCCAGTCTTTATGTAGTATTTAATTGTAGTTATTAATATTTGTGTGCATAAAATTTAGGCATTTGCTCTTATTCATACAGTACTTTTTCCACATCCTAAACTATTTGATTGAAAAATTGATTAAAAAAATAACATGGGACAAAGGGGATAAAACGTATTAGTTTCAGCAAATTAAACTAGTATGCATTTAAATCTATACAACCAACAGTGTGCAATTAAGGACAACTTTTCTGCCCAAATTTTGTTTACTATTATATCTGTGTTTAAAACCTCAGAGACTAGCCCGAGCGTGGAACACCCGCCCAAGGGGCAGCGGGTGACCGGAGGGGGACCCTGACCCCTGCATGCGCAGGTTTCCACCAGCCCACAAGCGACAGCATGGCAGCCATGCCCTCCAGCGGCTTGCTTGTGGCCACCCGCGACTATCACCTCCACCGCCCAGGCTCCCCTTCCAGTAACAGCTCCTGCAGAAGTGCAGAGTATGCTGGGGAAGCCATCCCTCACCACCCCAGGGCTGACCCCCATCACTGGTGGGCAAGTTTCTTCTTCGGGAAGTCCACTCTCCCGTGCATGGCTACAATGTTGGAGTCCCCAGAACGCTCGGAATCTCCTCAGGCCTCCAGCAGCACGATCATCTGCGACTTGCCTCTGGAAGCCAGGAGGAAGCAGCTTGGTGACCAGCCTGGCAAAGCCGACACCAGGCCGCCATCCTGAGTGGCCACCACCAGGCTTCAGGAGGAGCTGGACCGCCCCCCTCCTTCCCCGTAGACTAGTCAGGCTGCCACAAGCAGAAGCAATTGGGTTCTTTTATATCAAAATAGCAAAACACCAAAAAGGAAGTTGAGAGAATCCCACTGTTTACTATCCAAGCCACATTCAAGTCTTCCTCACACCTGGAACCGTGTGCCTTGTACCAAGTGGAAAATAAACTCCAAGCAGCCAGTAAAAATAAAATAAAATAAAAATAAAAAATAAAACCTCAGAGACTGAAATATTGAATTCTGTCGTCATATAATAGAAAATACTCCAAACTGTATTTTAGGAGGCCTGTTATTCTCAGGGCCTTATAATCTAGATTTGTTTTGCTTCTTCCTAAACAACATGCATCTTACATTCTTAGAAAGTTTGGAGCAATAGCTTTTAATGTTTTCCACTGAATTCAAAGGTTTAGATCTCAAGTATGCATCATGACATCAGAAAATATATGTGCTCTTTGAAGATCCAGTCATATCAGATGGCATCCTGATAATGTATTATTCATGACTCAGTTACAGATAAATAATGTGGTAACATGAAAACAAAGCATTAAAAAGTCACACGTATCGGTGAATCCTTTTGCAAAAGAATAAAAGTTGAGGGTGAACAGTTTTAAAATAGATAAATAAATAAATGTAGTGATTTAGGGAAACTTTAAAAAATTAATCACATGTTCTGGATAGTAAGCTCCTTCAGGGTAAGGACAGACTAATTCAAATTCTATAAAGTTCTAAGATGTTACATAGTACAGTTTCTTAACATATTAAATATTAATTTTATTTATAACTAACATTTTAAAGTATGTTAGTCAGATAAGATCTTACAAATATAGACACTTTGATGACAAATTCATATTTATAATTTAGTAAGTAGAAATACAAATGTATGATAATTTGATAGGACTTATTAGGTGGAGAAGTATAAAAGATCTTTCTATATAGTTTACGTGCATTTTAAGAAGAAATTTTGAATAGCCCTCATCTCAAGATGATCTCACTTGGGGGTAGGAGCATCTTTTATTACTCTCCTTGCTAGTCTTTCTAATTTAGCTTTTCTCTTGCTATTACATTAAATCAGATGAAATGCTGTATCTCCAGGTTAAATGTAAAGTCGAGTGGAAGCTCACAGATACTCTATTTCATCAGATTTACTGTAACCTAAAGGTTATATTAAGGAAACCACAAGGTTCTTGTTGTGAGTCATGGAGCCTTCAGTTTATCCAATGATGCTTTTTAAAACACCAAACTAATCACACTGTTGTCCATCTTAGAACTCTTCAAACTCCCTGCCATTGGTTCACTGAAAAGCTACCCATCCTCCCTGAGTCCTGAGGTATCTATCCTAGAACGCTCTTCTTCCCTCTGCCATGCAACCCCTATCTGTTTATGATGTCTCAGCCTTCTCTAAGAAGCCTTTCCCCTACCTGTGTTGTATTCAACTCCCCCGTGCGTTCATAGTGCACAACACAGACTCAACAGGCCCAAAGCACCTCTTCCACGCCAGGTGCTGTTGTTCAAGCATGAACAAGACAGATCTGCCCTACTTTGTGGGCTATATGGTCAGGCTGGGAAGAAAGGCTTCCAGCAAACAATTAGAAATAACCAACACAATTACTGGAAGTGTTCAGAGTGCCTGGAAGGAGAACAAAGGGGGTACAGACACATAGAGTGGCAGAAACTAACCTGGAGGAATGGGGAAGAGATGGCCTCCTTAACAACCTCACCTATTTTGTCATTGTGGGACAGGTGAAGAGAAAGAAAAATTCGAAAAATATTCAAACGATATGCAAAAACAATCTAGGCAAAAGAGACGACACCTAAGGCAGAGAAGGAGAGGGACTAGGGTTTATTTTCCAAAGAGAAATAGTAGTACAAGACGAGGTTGGAGAATGTGCTGGGCCTAAATCATGCCAGGGGCCTGAGGCAGCCGTGGAAGTGCACTGATCCTTTTCCCCCTAGAAAGAACTCGCTAGGGCTGTGAGGGGGCCAGCTGGTTGTCATGGCCCAGTGGCAACTCCAGGATACAGCAAAGTGGGCAACCAAAGCTACACCCTTCCCTGAGAGCTCGTAGCCGGTAACTAACCACAATGGGAGTAGGAGGGTCTGGTCCTTTCTGTTCAATGCACAACTGCTCTAATAGGTCTTGATTCTGTCCTCCCTATTGGATCATCCAAGACCTTACCAGATTAGTTTCGCAGATCATGTACACCTAATACCTGATTACCCTCTTCCCTCAGTTTAAGGCTCTCTCTGAATTTCAGCATTAAGTTTGAAATACGATTATTTATTTTCAGACTTAATGACCAAATACTGTATTACAGATACTATCAATTTGACACACATAATTGCATTCCCAGCTTTCAATAATTTTAGTTTTGATGCTAGGAAAACTGAAACACGGGTTGTGAAGAATTTACAATTTCTTTTCTAAGAAACTCAAAATCAGCTATGTCTGGATGAAGCAGATAACTCTCAATGGGCTGTGTTCTGTTTTCGTTAAATAAATATTTAATTATAGCAATTTATTGCTGGAAATAGCACAATAAATTTGGTATATTTCAAGCTACAACAGAGATGGGAAATGTTCACTCAATTTTGTTCAGTTTGTACAATGTGCTACTTGTCAATTAGGATAATTAACAAGGCTTGTCTTCAAAGACAGAAAAGGATCTACTACCTCAACTTAGTAAATATATGCCAAAAGCAATCTGAAAAACTTTTGTGAGGGAGTAAGTTTTTCTTAGGACTGCCCCTCCAACACCTCTGCTGTCCTGCCACATGGGTATTAGTCTGCATGAGACAGGTGAATGGTCTCAATCCCGGCTCCAGTCCAAGACAATCAGGTTACTCTCATCCTATGTTGCCAAAACCAAGAGTGGCCTAATGGAGATATCTCAGGACTGAAGTTTGATGATGATGATGGGAAGTGATGTCCCTGCTCCTTTAATCCCCCTAGATGTGAAGGGCTAAAATGCTGCTACAGGTGGTCACTGAAGGCAGTCAGGGAAACCATACTAGAGACAAAGCCTACAAAGCGGAACAAAGACAATCAAAGAAACAGACAAGACATCTGAGTTGTATCTGAAGACTACCTATCTCGCCTGACTATTGAGGCCAGGTTGAAATGTACTTCCTGTTATTTGTAGCATCAAAAGCATTTTAATGTACAAAGGTGTTTTGCTACTTTTCTTAGTTTAAAATTACAAATCTGATCGTGCACCTCAGCTTACCCTCCTGCTTCTGCCAGTAAAAGAATGGTCAATTGCCATTCAATGCTTCAGGCTTAATTTGGTTGATCTTCACTAAACACTGGCTTAAAAAATATTTTGCATATCACTTCAAGTACCAAGAAAAATTGTGAAATATAATAAAATATAAACTTGTATACTAGCTAACTAGTGTTATTAAATGCTTGGATGCTAGGTGAGAATCATTACGGAATACCTTAGAGTCCACAAATGCAAAGTAGCAGACTCTTCTCTGATTTAAAAAAAGTTGATCATGTTTTGTTTGTTTATGTAAGAGTTTGTAATGATGACTCATGGGCCAAATAAGGCCACATTTGTTTGTTTGTTTTGCCCTCACAATATTTAAACACACATATAAAAAGAAAACACACATAGATCTTCATGGAAATGATGAATGAGAGATGAAAAGTTGCTACTCATTTTAGGCCAAGAATGAGCTGCCAGTTTCAACTACTTTATATAAGGTCCACTTCACCCATCTTGTGACTTCATCACTATAAGGTATTTGAATCTTTGACCTCTGATTTAAGTGCACATTAATACTTCGGCAGCTAAGTACAGATTTATTTAATATACAGGAAAAATCTGACAGCCAAAACATTGGCACAAGAATAACTAATCACTTCAGAGGAGTAAAAACTCTAAGCAGGATCTTTCATATCCTTGTTCTAAGACTTAACCACCCAAAAGGTGTATATCTCACCTGTAAGTCTTTTTCTTCTATCTTTTTTTGGAGCAGTTCAAGACACTTGGTAAAGTCGGTGTGGTCTTGGTCAGGCGTTGAAATAATCTCACATCCCTATGTGTTTAAAGTAAGAGGAAAGTTAAGAATTCATAATGATGGCAGCCTTATCATGACAAGATCAAACACTATAAAAGTAAAGATAAGGTATCAATAGATATAGCCTATTATGCCTGTATTATACCCCGATCATTAGTATCATTATCTTTTTTATTTCAAATAACAAGACATCTCAGAAATGGTGTTAGAATATCACAATAATGGTCTGATTATGACAATCATTTTATTCAACAAAAGTGCAGATTTATACGACATTAATGGTCTTTAAGAATCACTGCTGTGACAATATTCGAGATTAACATAAGGACTCTGATACAAGTATTATAAAACATATTCACAGTAAAACTACCTGAAGTTAAAATGAAACTATTTCTAAAAAAGAAGTATGAATTTAAGTGGACCTCCTAAGTTTACTGACATGAATGGAAAAACTCATTAATATTGAACTAATGATAAAACTACATTTTAAGTAAAACCAAGTCAGCTGTTCTACAAAATTCCTTTACAGCACCTTTCTTACCCAAAGTAAAAAGCAGCATGAAGAGCTACACCTGCATAAATATGTCTCTTGGATTACTTTTTGGACATAAGGAAGTGAATTTATATGGTCTTTGCCTCTTCTACACCAGAGACCTTACCTAGTGGAAAACCAGGAATATATTTACAACTATGAAGCTACGACAGTGCCAACTTGTTGGCACTCGTGAACTCAGACAGCTAGAAAATGACCCCTTTTCCTCCACTGTCTTAACAAAGGCAAAGGCGTGTAAAACCGTAACTTCTTAATTCACGAATGTAACAATTCGTGGTTTCTCATAAACAGCTGAGTAAGGGGAAGTTAAATATAATCCTATATATAAAGTTGCCATTCAAAGAGTTTTCAAGGATACAGAACACCCATACTGCCTCCTAAATTATTCTAAGAACTGTTCTCAGTAGATTTAATGGTTCTTCTTTAACTTCAAGGTCTCTCTAAATGTGTCAAGCTCAACCTGGGCTTCATTCATTTATGACTGCTATCCTACAAGGTAGTGACCAATGAAAAAATTAATTTCTCATCATTCAGAAATATACTATGCCCTAAAAGATATATATGTCATTTTTACAAAATCGTTGACATGTACTTTTCTGACCCTAAAAGAACATTGAAATTTACTATAATCACATAAAGGGCATAGAGCAGTTGACTTGTCTCAGGTTAACATTCCTAGAAAAAAGATATAAGAATATGCCAGAACCTACAGGGAAATTATCAGGGCTGAGGAGATTAGATTGTCACCAAACCCCCCCCCCCAAAAAAATCACTATACTGAAAGTTCCCTGAAGACAGGAATTATGTTTCACGCATTACTATTTCTAGTGCAGGGCACCAGTCTGCTACATGGTAAGTATTCAATAAGTGTTTAATATTCTTGAGGAATAAAAACGTATGCTGGCAACGGAGTAGGAGAGCATGGTATCTTATTGCTAAATACTGCATTTTAACAATGGGAAATCACTTTCGTCTTTTTAGTGCTGACAATATAAATAATCACTCCAGCAAAAGGAAACAAAATGAAAAAGGCAATTTGAAATAGCAATAATACAACAGATGATTAACAGACCATTGTTTACGTTCACAGTTATCCTTACAGAATCAACACAGATCCATAGGAAAAATTATAGTGAATGAGAACCCAAGAAATAATCTGGTCCCACTATAATATTTTGTAGATTAAGAAAATAAAAATGAGAGATTTAAATTGATTTGCTAAACCCTGGACAACTGGGTCCAACAATGTCACATCTAGAAATTCTACTTCTTTACTCTGATGATGTGGGAATAAATACCTAGATTCCGGATACAAAAAGGTCATATAACCTCTCCAGAGTTGGTTCCATAAAAATGGTAACATGAGATAAAGCTTTGAGGTTTTCCAAAACATATGAGCAAGGCTTTACCTCATCAATTTAAGACAGACACACAAAAAAGTGTAAGTCAAGACATGGAGACAGATTACCAGAACTAAAAAATGCGGGCTGTGTCTAAACCAAGAACTTCTATTGACTCTAACTGAGGTGTTTATCAGCCATCCATAGCTTCTTGGAATTGTCAGGACTTTAAATGATTCTAATCTCATCACAGATTGAGAAGGAATTCGCTAGAAGTGCAAAACAGCCCCAACTGTCTTCACAGGGCAGCTTACAACCCTGGAAAGGATCCTGGCAAAACAAAGCATCAGCCAAAGTGCAATACCAGGTCTTTGGCCAACTAAAGATGTTTTTACTGTTTTCTAGGTCTTACGATAACATATTAACATCTAAAAGAGAAGAAATGTAAAACCAAAGATAAACTACCAAAATCCTGCAGACAAGGAAAAATGGAGAAATGCTCTAAGGTATCAAGTGATGCTCACCTATTATATATTTATTTATAATTATTTATGATATAGAGTAAGACTCCATTTAATAGAGTCAGAAGCCCTGGGTACTGTGAAGAATTTCAGTGGATTAGATGTTTAAAAGACAAAACGAAAACTCACACTAATCCAAGGACTTAGAAGATATAAAAAGCTAGGAAATTTAGCCAAATAAGTATATCACTTTCTAATAAATGGTTTCTAATATTAGCTTTCTAACAGATGTATATATACTTAAGAATATACAGAAACCTTCCAAAGCATAAACTGCAAAACTCCTTAAAGCACCTTTAACACACCAATGTTTGAGTGGAAACTTCAGTTTCAACTGCTACTGTCTTTGATTTTCCTTAGTTGCTTGGAATATATTTTTTAGGATACAAATTATTATTTTATGAGCCAGCAGGTGGCTCCAATCTCATCCTATACACTTGCCTTATGACGTTTTTGTCATTATACAAATAGAAATTTAATAGCTCAATTCTAATAATAAGTTCCCTTTATGGACACACCACTTTTTCAAGCTGTATTATTATTTTTTAATATTATATTTTATTAGTTTTGTTTTATATTAGAATTCAAAAGGAAAAGATTTGGATTGATGTCACAAATTTTAGTCTGTGTAAATATCAAGGCTATTTTAATTTTGTTCTAACCTAAAAGGAGTCTTATGAAGATGAGGAACCACAATGCCTACCCCATGCCCTCCAAACTATAACCAAACATAAAAGGAAAAGCAAGGAAAACTAAGTCCAAACTAGTTTAAAAATTCTGTTCCAGTGTGTCGAATTGACCACAGACTTCCTCATTAGGTCTTTCTCATTCCATGAATCAAAACCAGGAAAAGACACATGAAAATTTAACTATAAATAATTTCCAGAGGCCCAGTCAACTACTTTTTAAGGGCTTACTAGATATACATTGCTTTATTAAACTGCACTGTGTACAGAGGAAGTAGGAATCTACCAAATACTAATGGCCCAGTGGTAAATAAAAACACGAATATCATAATTAGTAAACATGTAAAATATAAATACGTGTATGTTTGAGTGTGAGAAAGACAGCCAAGGTAAGGGGGGGCTCTTTTTCTTCCTCTTTCCATACTAAGAAACTCCTAGCCATACTTCACCACTATCCAGTAAGTGCTTGAAAGAAAGTCTTCTATTCACCCCTAAATTGCTCCTTTCTTTTTGTCGGGTAGTGGAGATAGTGTGGGCATTTGAAATCTCATTTTGGTTTTGGGGTTAAGCTACACTGTAAAGTAGAGCCAACCACAATACACTGCAATGAGATACTCGGAAAATTACTGATTGATTACATTAGCTTCTCCTCCATAGAAATATAACGAACATCAAAAAACTGCACTGTTGAGAATCGTTATTATAATAGAAAATATGTATTAAGAAATTGAAATAATTCACAATATCAAGGAAGTATCATGAGTTCACATTAAAATGACAGGTGCAGATATAAAAGGTGCAGAAGGATGTAGAAAAGCTACAAATAAGGTAAATTAACCCTACTGTCAACATGATAAATTAGCAGATTGGAGGAGACTAAAGACAAAAAATCAGCAAACTTAAGTTACCAGATGTAGAACTTTACATGTGAGGGAGTGCGCTCATGGAAAAATGAACTGAAGTGGAGCAAACCACGTACACACACACAGGGCAAAAACTGCCATTTAGTAAAATCCTTGTCGACGACTCTGGGGATGCATGATCTCTAGTCAGGAAGGGAAGACTCAGTGCTTCCTGAGTATCGGGAAACTAACATCCGCACTGCAGCTGCTAGGACGATACCGAGGCATGTCAAGCACTCCACAGAAGTTTGATGGATAGAAAAATGATGGATGGATTAAAACCATCTCTCTACTCATGGCACTAATGGTATGCTTCTCTAAAACATACACGGGGATAAGCTTTAGACAATGAGTCTAACACAGAAAAGCAGCACTGTTATTTTTTCAAAGGTATTATGCCACCACTGCCATAAGAAAATCATGTAACACTTTTGTTTTAGGGCATGACTAATACAGATTCTTAAAGTGGTGACAAATATTAGTGCTTCATATGTAATTAAGCAAATTAAAATCCAACAATAATGTTAACAAAGTTAACATTCTGTGAGGGAAAGAGAACTACCAATGTACACGGAGGCTAACCAATGAAGCACTATGAAGTACTACATTAGTAATTCAGAATATCTTTGAATGAGTTGTAATGTATTTCTTAAGACCACTGACAAGGAATCAAACTGACATCAGGAACCTAACAAAAATTTAGCAATAAACAGTTTCCAGAATATGCCCTAGAATGACAATAGCTCACTTCAATTTTTTTTTAGATTTTTATTATGTTATGTTAATCACCATACATTACATCATTAGTTTTTGATGTAGTGTTCCATGATTCACTGTTTGCGTATAACACCCAGTGCTCACTTCAATTTCCAACTGCTAACTGCTAACTATAGTTACAGCAAACACAAAAATGTATGTAATATGTGTAATCTATGATCCTAATCACAGTAAAATCACAAATCATTTAAAACAGATGGGTTTAGGGGTGCCTGGGTGGCTCAGTTGGTTAAATGTCT